TTCCCTACAAAGCCTTGGCTTGAGACATTTTCTTCATGGAGAGGTGGAAAGTTTTTTGTCTGAGACACCTAAAACTAAAAAAGACAAAACACTGGGGAATATATAGTACAGTAGAAGCTAGCCAGAAGTGGATGGAATTGCCTTAGCAATTTCTAGACCTTGACTTTCCCTGTTAGAACTTTGTAGGGTTACACACTTATTCTTCGTAACCCTCATACCTTGTCACCAGAAAGAACTTCTCCACCTCACCTGTTGAAGCAGGGTCATGTTCTGGCTGCTGTTAATAGCCTGTAAATAGCCCCGTTTGTTTCTGTGCCTGAGCTACTGTGCCCTGCTTGAGCCTCATGTGCAGCTCAGGTTTTCTGTGCAGTGATACCAGCAGGAAAGGCACATCTTTACTTTCTCACTGGGCTGGTTTGCATCCTTCCTGCACCACAAGCATGGCTAGTGTTAAATATCATTCAGAATTTGTTCTGCAGTGACTGGAGAGTGCAGAAGGCAATGAACCTCTGCCCTCTGTGGGTTTTGCTATGAGCTAAGGTACCCCAGCAATTCATTATCTCAGGACTGGTGACCTGAATGTATTTACTGGAGTGGCATCACTGCATTATATGAAATCCCTCTTCTACCTTGATTTACCTTCATCAGATTTTTTATCTCATTAATCAGAATTTGTATTAACTTGGAGGTTTTTGGTTTGGTTTGGTTTGGTTTTTTTTTTCCCTTTTTTGACAAAGATAATTGGCAGTATCTCTGGTGAGACCCCACCTGGAGCACTGCATCCAGTTCTGGAGCCCCCAGTACAAGAGGGACGTGGACCTGCTGGAGCGTATCCAGAGAAGGGCCACCAGAATGATCCAAGGGCTGGAGCAGCTCTGCTGTGAGGACAGACTGAGAGAGTTGGGGCTGTTCAGTCTGGAGAAGCGAAGGCTCCGAGGTGACCTTATTGTGGCCTTCCAGTATCTTAGGGGGGCCTACAAGAAAGCTGGGGAGGGACTTTTTAGGATATCGGGTAACGACAGGACTAGAGGGAATGGGGCAGTGACTGGAGAGTGCAGAAGGCAATGAACCTCTGCCCTCTGTGGGTTTTGCTATGAGCTAAGGTACCCCAGCAATTCATTATCTCAGGACTGGTGACCTGAATGTATTTACTGGAGTAGCATCACTGCATTATATGAAATCCCTCTACCTTCATCAGATTTTTTATCTCATTAATCAGAATTTGTATTAACTTGGAGGTTTTTGTTTTGTTTTGTTTTGTTTTGTTTTGTTTTTCCCTTTTTTGACAAAGATAATTGGCAGTATCTCTGGTGAGACCCCACCTGGAGTACTGCATCCAGTTCTGGAGCCCCCATTACAAGAGGGACATGGACCTGCTGGAGCGTGTCCAGAGAAGGGCCACGAGAATGATCCGAGGGCTGGAGCAGCTCTGCTGTGAGGACAGACTGAGAGAGTTGGGGCTGTTCAGTCTGGAGAAGCGAAGGCTCCGAGGTGACCTTATTGTGGCCTTCCAGTATCTTAGGGGGGCCTACAAGAAAGCTGGGGAGGGCCTTTTTAGGATATCGGGTAACGACAGGACTAGAGGGAATGGGGCAAAGCTGGAAGTGGGCAGATTCAGGCTGGACGTGAGGAAGAAGTTCTTCACCATGAGAGTGGTGAGACCCTGGACTGGGTTGCCCAGGGAGGTGGTTGAGGCCCCATCCCTGGGGGTCTTTAAGGCCAGGCTGGATGAGGCTCTGGGCAGCCTGATCTAGTGGGAGGTGTCCCTGCTCATGGCAGAGGGGTTGGAACTGGGTGATCCTTGTGGTCCCTTCCAACCCTGACAGATTCTGATCTGTTTTAGCAGAGGACTTTAGAGCCCTATTGGCTCAATGGTTGGACTTGATGATCTTAAAGGTCTCTTCCAAACTAAAGGTTTCTATGATTCCCACAGAAGTTTTCTTTCCTTGCCCACCATGCTAGCAACTATTTCTGCATGGCTACTGGAAGAAATACTAAGATTATGAAGCTTCACTTTCACTCATCCAACTTACAGGTCCCAAAGTGACTCCATGTACAAAAAAAGGCATGTGCCAAAAAGCATAGGTGTAAAGTCACTGCAGAAGTATCCCAGTTGTTTGAATGTGTGGGCCAGGGCAACTACAGTGGGAACATCATGGGATTTGCAGTGTGAGACCTGAAAGAGCCCATCACAGACAGATCTAAGAGACTCATGACTCCCTTAGAATTCACACAGTGCCTTTTTGCTGAATGTGGTCATTTGGACACTATGAGGGATGGATAAAGGTGGTTGTTAGAGTGATTAGAGGAAATACATGACACTTCTTTTTTTAAAAATTATTATTTTTAATTCTTTTTAATGTTACAGCAATAGTGTAGCCTCATTGCTTAGGACTGGGAGCTTCTTAGCGAGCTGACCTGCTTGTGTATTGTGTTCTAGAAGTGGAGATGAGCAAATCATTTTTCAAACAGAGGTTGATGAATTTGTGCATCACAATGTTCACAGCCAGTTAGCCAGAGCTTTGTTTCAGAGATTATATTTTCTCTTCTCTAACCTCATCTCTATCCAAGTCAAAGGGCTGGATGTTGTACGGTAGCAGTTGTTATGGCATTAGTGGTGTTGCAAGAAGACAGGACAATCGGCAAGACAATCTCAACAGGTCCATGATGGAATACCAGCCCTGTGGGTTTCAGACCATCCTCACAATGGAGAGGTTCTTTACGGGGTGTCTGTGAGGATGGTGGGCCCACAGGTCTGCTCACCATGCCCTTGTACATTTATGGGATCTTGTGTTTTGGTTGCAAGATTCACACAAATATGAATAAGCCTGAGGAATATGAGGCCAAACAGGGCCATATATACTTTCACACTGCAAAACAGCCGCCTTTATCTTGCTCAGTGACCTGAAGGTTAGCAAATGCTGCACAAAGAAGCCTTTGCATAGCCAAGAGGCCCTAGAGCCATGTCTCAACCAACAGGGACCACAGCTATGGAGTAGCACAACCTTCTGCCAGAGCAAAACACCACAGGGTGAAGCAGACTGGACACACCACACCTTCCTTCATGTATCAGAGGGCTTTTGACAAGCCCCTACATGGAGAGAGACCTCTGTTTAGAGAGGAGATGTCTAGAAAAGGCTGAGCACCAGCAGGCCAGGGCTGTGCAGTTTGGATACAAGTTTGGGACGCTTTCCCAGCTGTGTTTCTTTGTCTGTAGGCCATTGCCCAAGCCTCCACCACCATGCCGCCCACCCTCCCTGCCACGACAGAGACCTACACGCGGACTCAGTACTGCAAGTGGCCGTGCGAGTGCCCCACGTCCCCGCCTCGGTGCCCGCTGGGCGTCAGCCTGGTCACAGACGGCTGCGACTGCTGCAAGACGTGTGCCAAGCAGCGCGGAGAGACCTGCACTGAGGCCGACACCTGTGACTTCCACAGGGGCCTGTACTGTGACTACAGTGGAGACAGACCTAGGTACGAAATAGGAGTATGTGCACGTAAGTGACGTACATATATTTTTGACTTAGATATACATGGGCAGGTCCCCTCAATTGAGCAATGGTTGAGATTCATCTCATTAGATACCTGGCTGTATGGTCATCAGCTCCTCCATCCATCAACTTCTGTTTCCTTATAGCTGTTTGCATCCTCAGGACAGTTGGCTGGATGAGAAATGGCATCTGGGTTCTTGGTCTTTGAGTTGGCTGCAGACAAGAGCAAGGAGCAGTCATCATTTGAAGGTCTTTCAGATTTGCAAGTTGATGATTCTGTATTCCCCCTAAGAGGAGGAGGTTCTGTAGTGGGGTGAGGATGAAGGAAGGGTACATATGCAGAGGGCTTTAAAGGCAAGCAATATGGTTGTCTACATGAAACCATGACATTAAGGTGATGGTTTTGGCTTATTCTCAATAGTGGATCCCTAGGAGGGACAACATGTTCTATCCTCTCAAGAGGCTCAGGGATGAATTATCTCCTAGCAAAGTTTCTCAGTGACAAATTGAGGTCTGAGACTTAATCTTACAATGGTTTCAGTCACGCTGGCTGCCATGAAGCAAAACGATTTCTTCCTGCCTGTCATAACAAACACTTGCTGGGGTAATATAAGAGACTGGAATGTTTTTATTCAGAAAGAGGAAAAAGAAATGAGATAGTGTTTTGTGTGTCAGGGATATGTTCACTTGTTCGAAGATCCTGAACGTGAGGGGAATCTGATCCACTTATAAATGACTGAAAATCATTACTCTGGGAATGATTACAAGGGAAAGGAATTATGAGTACATCCACACAGATCGCTGATCAGAAAGGATGCTGACTATTTAACAAGCTATTAGAAGATATTGGTTGTGGCTTTAGATTTATAAACAGGAAAAAGCTATTTAGAGGGAGGGTCTTCTAAGGAGGAATATAACCATAAATATGGTACGAGTAGGAAATGTAAAGGTGGAAGGAAACCTGGAGGAGAGCTGATTGTGAGATGGATAGATAGAATAACTCACCCACAGGAAGGAGAAAAGATTGCAAATAGTGTGCTTCAATAAACTTAGAAAATCAGTGGAATTTCAAAAGGGGCAAGTCTGAGGAGTAAAGAGATCCAAGGGAACTGGCAGTTCCTCACAGAAATGATAATAGGTATTGCTGTTCCTCAGAAGAAGGAGGAGAGGAAGCATAGTAAGAAATGAACTTGGCTTTGCATTACATCAGACACTAAAAAAAATCATGCAAAAAGTATAGTCTAACCAGATTTTGTAGGATATGAGCAAAATAACAAGAGAAGGTATGTGCAAGGAGCTTTAAACTTAAACAGTGATTTTCAAGATTAGGAAAGATCCAGGGTTAAGAGGATATGAGATCATTCAAACATATTGTCTGGAGTGTGTGTGGAGCGTTCATGGGAGCTCTGTAAGAACAGGTTAGACAAACATCTGTCAGGAATGACATTGTTAGAGCTGGCCCTGCTTTGGGAGAGGAAAACAAGCTGGATGTTGTCTCAAAGCTGCCTCAGCCTTCCTGGGCCTCTTTAAAGACCTTCACATTGCTTCATATTTATTTATTTAAATGCCTGCTTTCTTAGCTGGATATTTTTGGGGTTTTCAGTCCTCCCATACATCACAGGCATTCAGTATGCATGTGGAAATAGCACTGTGGTGTAGGAAGACTGGTCCCCATCTTTTGCAGTGAGATCCGGAAGGATTCCAAATCAATAGTAAGTGAAGTGGCTTTTCTCTGGCTGCTATAGAAAGCTGTGGTCTTCTCCTTGCTTTCAGCATCCAAATACACACAAAAGGATCTGCTGACATGTTCTGCTTCACTCTGGGTACATCAGCTACTGCCCTGACCACAGGGTGAGTTAAGGAAAAAGCAAGTGTCCTGTGCTGGGTTTTGGGAGTCCCCTGCTGCTGTGAGGAATTTGCTTTGCAGCTGGATGCCAAAAGCTAGGTCTAGAGAATTCTGTGTATGCAGGACTTCAGAAACAATATAATTTATGGAAAATAAAGATCCTGAAAGTGCTAAGAATTGGTGTTGGGAAGGTGAAATTATTTCAGGCAGTTATCTGGGCTGGCATGCTGAGGTGTGTCTCAGGATCTGGTTACTTGGACACCAGATAGGAGCCTGCTGGGAGTCACTACAGCTCTCCTTTTGCTGATGCCTTTTGTCCACACCAAAGCTGAGATAGCAGGGTGCTGAGCAGGTGCCCAGGTGGAGAGGCTGGCGGTGTGCACATGGCATCAGGAACAGGCATGAGGTCCCAAACTGCCTGATTAAAATGAAGACTCAGCAAGGTTCTCCATGAAGGCTCTCAACAGTCCCTTGGTCTATGTTTGAGGCTGTTCTCATGATGAAACTCTTGATGTGTGAGACCTGCAGGAGGCTGAGTTAACACAGTCCAGGAGGGATATGCTGGTAGCAAAACAAGAGGAAGTACAACGTTTTCTAGAACTGTCATAATCCATGTGCACACCTAGAAGTTTAACTGGATTCTCATCTCTGGCTCCAGCACTGAGTTTCGTGCCTCCAATACAAAGGCAGAAGCATTATCAAAATCAGAGCTGAGCACGAACTGGAAATCTGGATCTGTGCTTCAAATTCCAACAGCTCTCATTTTTGTGCAGAAGAAGGAATTTGTGTTTGATGTTTTCATTTAGCCTGTTCTAAAAATAGGAAGCCTTTGCAGAGTTTTAATCCAGCGTTCAATTTGTGTTGGTCCTGAAGCAGCCACAATCCAACTCCATGTCTGACCAGACTTAAAACTGAAGCCACCTCATTGGTGTGTGCACACTGCCTCCGTGTGACCAAACAAAAACCTGACACTTGCATTTTCCATCAGAAGATTTCTGCCACTGGTTCCAAACTTTTTAAAACAAAAAAGTTGCTCTTTCTGAATCAGTGGGATTCCTGTTCATGGGCAATCAAAAAGCTTGGGTTTTGGTGATTTTGTTTAAAGATATACATCAAATACTAATGTGGCGCTTCATTTTTCAAGAAAACTGTTCTGTAATAAATGGGGTGGGATCTAGTTGCCTAAAAATAGGAATCCTGTGCCATTTTAGGTGCTTCTTTGCTACCTTGGCTGCCCTCCCCCTTCTGCATCAGGCAGGTACCAGTGCATAGAAGAGCTGTGCATATTTGCAAGTCCATGTAGTCCTCTCATATGCCCCTGAAAACCTTAAATTTCACTCAGTATCTGTTTTAATTACTTTGATTGCTCATACTGCAAATAACTTTTACCAGCATGCCATGAAACTATTTTTTAAATGAGCATTTGTGGATAAAACTTGTTTTATTTTCTAACTTCTTTTTTTCCATAAAGCGTTAAAAGAATTTTTTTTCTGTGATTCAGAATGAAAACATTTTCCTAGATGGTGTGACCACATTTGGCTCAGCATCATGCTGACCACATCACCCCTCAGCACTGCCATGTCTCCTCATTGGTTCCTTTAGCCCTGGGAGCAGCTTGGTAAAGAAACACATCAGCACTGTTGCCCACATTATTTTAATGATTCCCTGTGTGTCTTTCTCTCTTTTTCTTTCCTTTCAGAGATTGTTGGTGTGGGATGTGTCCTCAATGGAGTCAGGTATAACAATGGGGACACATTTCAGCCCAATTGCAAATACAATTGCACATGCATTAATGGAGCTGTGGGCTGTATTCCCATGTGCACAAACTCACGTCCTCCCCTTGTCTGGTGCCCAAACCCAAAGCTGATTAAGATGGCAGGGAAGTGTTGTGAGCAGTGGATTTGTGATGACTCCAAAAAAATCAGGAAGACGTCTCCACGCCACATCTCCTCTGCAGGTATGGTGGGAGCGAGGTAGACCTCTGCTTTGCCATCGGGCAACTGAAGCCAGAGTCTACAATGAAAGTATCAGCTTGTCCTGCCAGACCTGCCAGGCATCTGGGCTTTGTGTGAGCAAGGCACAGGGACTATACAAAACCTTTGAAGTTCATATCTGCTGGCACTTTGAAGATGTCACAAGTCCCTTTTTTTTTTTTTTTCCCCAGTCTAAGCCTTCTGGAGAACAGAATAGGCTCAGTTTAATTTGAAACTGAGGCTTTCTGTTTGAGTTACATTGCTTTAGTGGTATGATTTTGAAGCTCTTATACCTCAGTAATCTCAAACTTCCATAACACCTTGAGAACAGTTATTGTGGTGGACGTTTCACTGCCAGTTGGGCTAGATTTGTGTTAGTATTGCTTCTTAGCAAGTCTGGACTGAAGACTATTGAACTACATATTTTATGTATCACATAATTTACCTTCTTTCCTCACACTCACATTCATAGGATCATGTAGCCCACTTCAGAGAGGTGGTACCATTTACCTCAAACATGGTCCTAAATCCTTAGATGGGCTTATGTGGCCATATATCTTAAATTTATCCTTGTAACACCCTGTGATGCAATGTAGTGTCATTGGCCACATTAGTTCCATATTTTGGACTAGCAGGAAGGAGACAAAGAATGTCTGTTGAAAACCAGAATTTTGGTTCCTTGATGGTAAGGTTTTTTTCCCCAATCCTTGGTCTGTAATTTTGTTGCACAAAACAAAGCCTCAGTCTCCATTTTGTGGGTTAAAACCACCACAGTTTATCCCTCACTTCTGTCTCTAAGAGCTTTGAACTGTGAGGTAGGTCCAAATTCAAAATATCTGCTACTGAAATTGGTCTTATGACTTCATTCCCTGTGTTCCGAAATGGGCATAACAGAACTTTCCCTGCCTGGATTTTTGTCTTATAAATAGAAGCCTTACAGAAGTTAGACTAACATTTATTACATTTAATGTAATAATATAATCATAAATAAAATAGTGAGCAAAGTTAACTCAGCAGAGCTTCTATCAGAGTTTTGCCTTTGAGCTGTACCTTGAGTTGAGACCAGCGGGGGCTTTGGCTGAGGCTTTGAAGGAACCTGGAGTTGCCAACTGCTTTCAAAACAGAGCCCATCCTTCAAGTGGCTGCCGAGCTCCCTGAGAACTATTCAAGCTGCTTTTCCTCCCAGTGAAAGTCTGTGGCTGCTTCCCAAACCTTTCAGCCATCCAGCAAAGACTGTCGACCACTTTCTGCTACAGGGAATCAACTGAATGGGCTCAGGAATAAACCTTCATGATGAGATCAGATCTCATCCTTTTTCTGCACCGGCTGGTGCAGGCTTCTGTAATTAAGTGTTTGCATTGTGGCAGCACCTGGGGGTCCCAGACAAGGACCCCCTTGTGTGAGGCTGTGAAGGGAAATAAAGAAATGAGCCCTGGCCCCAACCTCTCACAGCACTGGAGGGGCTGACACAAGTAGGTCAGCGGCAAAGGGTGTGGGATGAGGAGCTTCACAGGAATGCTGAGACACTTCACTGTGATTTAATTATTTGGGTTAGTGGCCTGAATGTGTAATGAGCTGGGGAGAGGGTGTTTAATATGGAAAGCTGCCCTGGCTGAATAACGTGGGGTTAATCTGGTCTCTGCAGCGTATGAGGGAGAGGATGAAGCCTGGCAGAAGAACTGCATCGTTCACACCTCACCCTGGAGTCCCTGCTCAAAGACCTGTGGGCTGGGCATCTCCACCAGGATCTCCAACGACAACGACCAGTGCCGGCTCCTGAAGGAAAGCCGCCTGTGCTCCATGCGGCCCTGCGAGGTGGACATCACCAAGCACATTAAGGTGGGGACGGCTCCTCCGTGCACCCCTTGAGCTCCGCCTGGACACGGGCCTAGCCTTTGTTTGGCAGCATTCAGGCCTCTGAAGGCTGCACTTCTACATGTTTTGTTGTGCTGCAAAGAGGTCAAAAATGTGTCCTCCCTGTGTTTCCACAGGCTGGTATGACAACCTTTCCCTGAGAGCTTTAGTTCCAGCCATATGTCCTTGCAAGGAAAGGCAAGCCAAGTCAGCTGTGCTCACTGCTGGTTTGGACAGACCTGTGACCCAGCTAGCAGAAAAGTGATGGTGCACAACTGGTCACGGCCATGAACTGTATTTTAAAAGTATCCTACTTGAAGCTTTTGGATTCCTATGTCTAAAGGTGTAAATCTGGCAAGCCCTCTACATCAGGGCTGTAAAATTCTTCTTAATATCTTCAAAACCCTCTAAATATCAGGAAGGTGGTTTGTATGACCTACCTGTGTCAGCAGTCAACATTAACCTGTCTCTTTTTCTGTTCTTCTCTGACTTAGCCTGGGAAGAAGTGCTTGGCTGTCTACAGGGCCAATGAACCAATGAACTACACCATCTCAGGATGTGTGAGCAAAAGTTCATATCGACCCAAATATTGTGGTGTCTGCACAGACAACAGGTGCTGCACACCCTACAAGTCCAAGACTATTGAAGTGAGGTTTCAGTGCCCAGATGGAACTGAGTTTTCCTGGAAAATCTTGTGGATCAACGCTTGTTTTTGCAACCTGAACTGCAAGAACCCCAATGACATCTTTGCTGACTTGGCTCATTACCACGATTACTCTGAAATTGCTAATTAGATTGGCTGAATGCTGGAATTGACCCATTGCTCTGATTTTACAGAGGTTTTTAAAATAAAAGGAGAATCTTTATCCCTTCTCAATGTATAATTATTTTTTTTCCCTCAGTTAGGATGTTAAATCTCCTTGTTTTGCCACAATGTTTTTGGATATTCCTTGTACAAACAGGATTTTCAAGTCTAACAGACCTCCATCTATTAATGGCAGCTAGACACTCCTCTATGCACAGATTGTGGGACTTAAATGACTGTCCTGTTGGCACTGTCATTTATTAGCCCAGCAGCTAAATTGGCCAAAGGAAAGAATAGTGCCCCAGGATGACAGCAAAAGCATGGTTGTTAGCAGCTTAGACACAAGATTCAGCCATCGTTACTGTCATTTCTGGAATAATGTGGTCTGAGTGGGAAAGGGAGCATGGGCATATTCAGTTTATTTTCAACATCAGACTTCAGTCTTTGTTGTTCAAGACTAGACTCTAGTCTTTGTCACATTGAGATCAGTTGTAGAACTCTCCCTCTGTCATCCTCAGTCAGATTGTCCCCCATAGTTAAAGTTCATGTGAAAAGCCTGTGAAGAAGAAGGTTTCTCCTGAAATCTCTGTGCGACAAATCCATCTCTCACAGCACTAGGCTTGCTGAAAGAACAACGTTGTCCTGCATTCCTTGGGCTCACCTCAATCTCTTGGAGTATCTTATGCCAGTAACCTCACAGTTACTCTAGCTGCTCTGACCTTTAACAGCCTGAATGCTCCAAATCCAAAATGGCCATCTCAGAGCTCATATTTTGAAGACAGATCCTCTTATTCATGGATTATGTATTGCTCCTAGGCTAGCTCTGCAGACCTGAAGGGTGAAAAGTAGACAATCTGATGAGAGACGGAAGACAATAAATCATGTGCTCGTTCATTCACATAGAATTGTTGTGTTTTGTGTCTGGCCATCACCTACTCCTCCCTGTGGTGTTACCAGCACACAGGTCCTCCTGTGCTTTGCCAGGACACTTTGCCAATGACACAGACCTTTGATTTACCTGGCTAAGGCAGAGGAAAGGAGATGTGCTAAATAAGAATACAGGTGTTAGGCTTCCCATCAGCTCGGTGCAGGAGTGGATGCAAAAGGAGAGGACAACCCTTGGCATAGCTTCTGGTGCCTTAGTTGCAACTGGGCTGCTGCTTGGAGTAAACATCAATGTAAATATTTTCTCCAGAAGTGGTTTTACATGCAGATGTCAACTAAGAGAAGAAAAAAACTGTCATTAACTTTCCAAGCAATACATTTATCATCACCTAAAGATGATGGAGCCATTTTTTTTTCTCAAATAATAAACTGTTAGTATAGCATCCATGCATCATGGCACATTCGCTGTTGCATCACTTGGGAGAGTAGAAATGATTTTCTGCAAGGGAAACTGTAGTATCTGCTTTCAAAATCCTGGGTGGCACAGCAGAACTGCTGGGAGACATATGGTGTGGAGATTGAACCAGGATGGTGCTGAACTTCAGGTGATGCAACTGTTTTAAATCTGTCATTTATTTTACTTTAATTTCAGTAGGCAAGTTGTCTGTATTCATCTTGATAACCTAGAGGAAGCTAGATTAGTTCCCTGGAGACATAAATCTTTCTGGCTGTGATGAATAGGCAGAATATAATGCAACACCTATGTAAAAAGAACTAGGAAAGATGCCATCTATCTTCAAAAGCTGTTCACTTCAATAGCATCTTTGCTTATATAAAACCATAAATATTTTGCCCCTTTTCATAGAGCTAGGTAATTTTTTAAATTCAAAGCTTTTACTATTTCTTTTTTTGAAGCTTCCATGAAATCTCCAGTGGCAGAAAAGAAGGATGAGCCCTGTCTTCCATCCTGTCTTCTAGTTCTTTCACACCTTAAAATACCACATATGTGTGTGTGTATGCATATATGTATATACAAATATGTACTTATACATATGCCTATATGTATGTATATGCATATATAAAATATTATATGCATGCATTTATATAATGCTGTATATAATATTAAATATAAAACCACATAGAATCTTAGAATCATTTAAGCTGGAAAAGCTCTTTCAGTCTAACCATTAACATAACTCGATCAAGTCCACTGCTAAATCATGTTCCTCAGTGCCATATCCATGTGACTTAAGCACATCTAGGGATGGTGACTCTGCCAATTCCCTGGGCAGCTTGTTCCAGGGCTTGATAACCCTTTCAGTGAAGAAAGTTTTCCCAATATCCAGCCTAAGCCTTCCCTGGCACAACTTGAGGCCATTTCCTCTTGTCCTATCACTCGTTGCCTGAGAGAAGAGACCAGCACCTACCTCGCTGCAGACTCTTTTCAGGCAGTTGTAGAGAGTGATGAGGTCTCCCCTGAGGCTCCTATTTCTCAGACTAAATAACCCCAGTTCCCTCAGCTGCTTTTCATCAGACTCGTGCTCTAGGAACACGTCCATGAATGTGTATACTTACATTACCATATGCCTACGGTGCAGTCTGTGATATGTAAAATGGAGTGCATAAATAACGTGTGTTTATATGTATAACCAGTCTTTCACTGTCTTACATGTACACATAAGGAAACCAGAAAACAGGATCAGAAGATGTACCCAAAACTGTAGCACTTACTAGGCTTTCTTTGCTTTGTAATTAGCTCATGCTGTAACCACCATAATCAAATGCTGCAGTGGTTGAAACACACAGCTTTCATTGTGAGTTAAAAGAAGCTATTGTAAGTTAATGCATGACCAGCAGCTCCAGTTTGTGCTGGTTTTTAGTGAAGTGAATGCCTGGAAACCACAGATCTTGCCCAACGTGCCCAAGATGTTTCTGTTTCTAGCCTGGTTTCCTAAGGGAACAAGGCATATGCAACCATACGCTTGTTTGTCAGGCCCTTGGAGGGAAACGTCAAAGTAGTCAGAAGAGTGAAGCTTCTTAAAACAGCAGTGTGGTTCCTGAAAGAAAAAAATGAAATAAAATAGCAGGAGAGGGAAGAAGTCCACCACATTGCCCCAGCAAGCCCATACGTATCTGCCAGGCAACCAACACGTCCAACACATCTGCAGTGTGGCCCAACCACAACAGCAGCATTAGGGGATTTTGAACAGATATGCTGTTTGGAAACAAGCAGCCATGGACGAGAGAGAGCTGAGAGCATCATGGATGGGGAGTAGGATTTTTGACACTCCTGTAAATGAGCTTATTTTGGATATCTGAAGTGCTGGGGTTAAACCCCCAGCCCTGAAGGAGGGTTGGCATATGGATGATGGCCACAACCCAGCAAGAAAGACCCTGCTGAATGGTTCTCACCCACGGCCTGGCCAGCCTTGGGTGGGAACTGATGAGGAGATCACCACCAGGTGACCCTGCCTTCAGCATTAACATCATGTGTCCTGCCTCCAGGTTAAGAGCATAAAAGCTGGCTTGGTCAAGTTTATCTGTGTGGTGTCTATTCCAGTGGTGCTGAGACATCAGTATGCCTGGGAGCAGAGGAAGGAATAATGGCATCATTCCATGGTCATGGCCACTCAATTGGAGTTGGACTGGTTGCCTGGGCCCTCGGTTGATTTGCTCCTGCCTCTGCTGCATATTGCCCTGTGAGTGAATTTGTAAACCTTTCCATTCCTCCAGTGGCCGGCCACCTCAGATCCACTGCATATGGTTTAAAACTGGAGGGAGGGGTCTGGCTCGTGTGTTGCCCATTAATGACAATATCCTTCCTATTGGGGTTGGTGCCCAGCAGAACAATATTGGAAACACATGGCAACAAGTGCTGGGTCCTCCACTTGAGGCACAACAACCCCATGCAGTGCTTGGGGAAAAGTGGTTATAAAGCTGCCTGGCAGAAAGGGACCTGGGGGTACTGACCAACAACTGGCTAGATACGAGCCAGCAGTGTGCCCAGGGGTCCAAAAAGGCCAACAGCATCCTGGCTTGTACCAGAAATCCTGTGGCCAGCAGAACCAGAGAAGTGATCATCCCCCCCTGTACTCAGCACTGACAAAGCCCCACCTGGAGCACAGTGCTCAGTTTGGGGCCCTCACTACAAGAATGATGACATGAAGTGCAGGAGTGGGTCCAGAGAAGGGCAAGGCAGCTGCTAGTCTGTCTGGTGGCACTGAAAGGGGGGAAGCAACACTTGACACTTGCAGCCAGTGAGCTGGACTTGCAGTTTGTGGTGCATTAGAGATACGCTATTTGAACAGGGTTAGGAGAAGATTAGCCCTAGGATTACACCAACAGACTAGACCATGGACTCAGTTCCCTGGCTCCCTGTGTGCTTGGGCAAATCATTTATCTTTACAAAAGTACTTTTGTGGTTACTGTTTAAATACATTGAGGATTTAGATCCCCAAAGGCTTTCACGGATCTGTCCCTTTGCTTCACTTTTCCTCAGTTCTTCAGAGCCAGAACAACAAAGCCTCAGTGTTTGTTGCCTCTGTAGAGGGTGAAAACTCCAGCAGGAACTGATGCTCACTGTAGGCTTGTACAGTGCCTCACACAATGGGCCCAGGTCTCTGCTGGCACCTGAAAGTGGTATCATCATCCAAGACAGCAACAATAACAGCATTGAGGGGACAGCAGGATCCAAGCTGGTGCTGGGCCCCTCTGGTACACCAGTCCAGGGAAAGGCCTGAGAAAAGATGGGAGTGATAATTTTGAAATCCAGGCTAAGCCGAGACAGTTTGACACATGTCCTGCTCATGCCAGTCATCCTGTTGGCCTTGTAGGCTGGGACAAGGATGGTGGACAGGATTTGGAGGGTCAAGCCACGCTAATACGAATGGCAAGAGTCCAGCTAGCTCCAGCAGCCATAGTCATTCTGCAGAGACAGGATGGTGGCTCAAGCTGCCTCGTTTGGGAGCCCCAGAAAGCAGGTTATACACTCACTGAAGATGCACACCTATAACTGACAGAGATGCCTTTACATGGAGCGTTGACTAGGATCTAAACCACCATTTTGGTGTGCATACAACTGAAAACAGGGTTTTATTTTTCCTATGATCACTAGGAGTTTGCTGTGTATATGCAATACTCCAGGAAGACCACAGCATTCAGAAACAGCGTGTCA